GATGAATCAACCGTAGGACGTGCGATAGCGGGAGCCATCCTGCTGCTGCCTACAGGTTTTTTGTAGTAGCGGTTTCAGGGAGCACCCTAGGCGGCCTGGCGGCCAAGTCCCCTGTCGGTCTGTCCAACATGAAAACACGCACCCTAACATGCAACCCGGACACGCAACACGCAGCACGCAGAGGGCAGATGCAGCAAACAGGAGGATATGCAATGCGCTGCGAACGACGGCAACATACAGGCAGGCAGGCACACAACGGCGCACACACGCCACCCCAGCAGCAGCTTGAAGGCGGCGTGCATGCGTGCATCCTGCACCATGACTCCATACGTAGATACCGCCCATCCCCAGGTGGCCAGCCAGTGCTTTTTGATGCTTCAGCTAAAGGTTTCACGCAAAGGATCTCTCTTGCACGCTTTGAGCTCTTGCGATCGTCTCTCCCCCCCTTCAGGCACCAGCAGTGTGCCGGCAGATCAGCTACACTCAGAAGACAGACACACAGACACACAACAGACAGACAGACAAACAGACAGCGGCAGAGAGGACAGCACAGATAATGCATGGCATGCCTCGGCTTCCCACGTCTTGTTGACCCCTTACCGACCCCGCGAAGGACCTGCTGGCCTGCGGCTTTCGGAGGCTATCTGAGGCTTTCGTGACTGGCCGTGTGCCAGTGTAAGCGTGCCGCGTGTATCTGAAGACGTCGCTGCCAGGCCGTGAGCCTGTTTGCGCCCGGTGGACGCCCCGGCCGGCCGTGCGCCGGTGTCGAGTGTGGTTGCTGGCCGTGTGCCAGTGTCGAGTGTGGTTGCTGGAGGACAGCTCTCTGCGACAGGCCGTGCGCCTGTGCCGCCTGGCCGTGGGCCTGAGGAATTGCCTTCTCCGGCCGTGAGCCGGCGTCGAGGTGGGCCGTGTGCCTATTGAGGAGTGACCGTTGCTGCAGGCCGTGTGCCTGGACCTTCCTGATTTTGCCGACCGGCTCTAGCCGAAGAGACACGCGAACGGGTGGCCGCTGCATGCTCTACACTGTTGTTTGAGTGTGCGGACTCGCGTTCGGTCAATACTCTGACTTCCCCCCGTATGCTACCTGGCGGACTCGCCCTGTCTCTACTCTTTTTGCTCTTCGGGGTGATGAGTTTGGATTCTGCATTTGAGACATGTCCGGTGTGTTTTGAGGACCGGCCTGCGAGGGACTTCGTCTGCCTCCATGACCACTGGCCCTCTCTCCCGCGTGACCCGTCGCCTTCTGCCCAGAGTGTCTGCTTGGTGTCTCTGATGTCTCCGCCCTTGTCCTCGCCCCCGATCCCCTCCGACCCCCTCCCCCCTCCTCTGAGGACCGCGTGTGTCCTGGATGCTCTCTTCCACGGCCATCTGGCGAGGACTTTCGCCATCTGTCGTGCCGGGCCTGCAATTCGCTCGTCTGCGGGCCTTGTGTGGAGGCAGAGGAGTCCGCCCGCCGGAATTCGCGCATGGTGGGGAACGAGGAGCACTGTTCTTTTGCAGAACAGCCCTGGCATGCCGCCCTCTTGGAGCTAGAAAGGGAGTGGGGGTGGCCTCCCTCTTCGTGGGATGGATTTGCTGAGGGCCGCCTCTATGAGGAGCGCTTTCACCTACCTGTGACATGTCTCTTGCGGACCTTTGGACTGCTGGTTGGCCCTCTCGCCGCCGGCCGCTCGCGCGATGACAACCCCGCTCGGATCCGGATGATGATAGGCACCGGTGAGCTCTGCGAAGACACAGTGCGTCTTGCTTTGGCGACAATCGCTGTTGAGAGCCCCGTGCGAGCGGCTGCACTGCGCAGCATGGTGTTCCCCCCTCGGCTTCCGTCTCTCAGCCAACTTCAACAGCGGGGTGGCCTTCTTCACTCTGCAGGCTACAGCATCGCGTTCCGTTTCGTTAACGAGAGCGGTGACAGCAACAATTGTCTGCTTGAGGCGGCGATTCGCCAGCTGCGTCTGGAGCGGCTTCGGCTCTCCAATAGACAGCCGGCTGATCGTCTTCCCATCCCTATCCCCGGACCGGCAGAATTGCGCCGGCTGGTGGTGGAGGACCTTGAACGGCGGCGTTCGTCGGGTCAATTGGACGCCTTTTTTGCGAGTCCTCGCGACCACATCTTGGACGTCATGCAGAATTCGTCACTTACCGAGTGTGACGTACGCTCTCTGGCCAACGTGACGGGAGCCTCCATCGTTCTCTGTGTCCTTGCCGAGGAACAATTCGAAGACCCCACCGTCCCGCACCTGCTCCGCGAGCATGACACAGTTCACCCTGAGGGCGGACGTGTGCAGCGGCCCAGGACGGTCCTGGAGCCCTTCCCTCCACCCCCGCCGATACTCTTCATTTTCTACGCTGGCAACCACTTCATGTCCCTGCTACCGTTGGATGGGAGTGACCCCGCAGCGCGTGGGGAAGTTGCAGGCGACTGGTGCCGATGTGGTGAGTGGCCCTGCGCCTGCGCTGAGGTCGCGAGAGTTGACGGCCATGCCGCGGGCCCGTCAGACGGCCTTGGGAGTCCATCGGAGACACGTCCCCCAGCTGCCACCAATGGACCGACCCGCCTCGTCCCGCCTCCTTCTCACCCAGAGGGCATCGCCGATCTACAGACCTCCCCCCGCTCGGGCATCCGACGCCAGCGTCGCACTGATAGACAACGGCAACGCCGCACCCGCAGGCGTTTGCAAGAGGGGGCGGCGGCACCGTCATGTGAGGAATGGGAGGAGGAAGTGGCTTCTAGTGGCCTGCAACAACAGCAGGATCAGGACACCCACATAGATTCGGTCAATGGCAATGCAGCCCTGCCCACAGGAGATGGCCGAGAAGTCGACAGGACAAGTGAAGTGGGAGACACCATGGATGGATGCGGATGGATGGATATTGCGGATGACCGCGATTTGACAGGGGGCAGGGGAGG